TTTTTTTCTTTTTAGTCAGTTTAATTCAGGCCTGGTCCACGAACTATAGTTCGTGCATCCCGCTTCTCCTTCCACTGGCGCGTGACGCGTGCACATACTGTACATGCTGACTAATGAGTGTAAAGCCAATGAGAGGCTAATGAGTGTAAAGCTGATGAATATGTGGATTAAGGAAGAGAGCGCGAGAATCGACAGCCTTATAGAGGGAAGTGGATCGAGTCTGAAAGGAAAGACAAGAAGAGACAGCCGCGGAATATGTTTTCCTCCTCTCGTGCTCTGTGGGCGCCCACGAAACCAGGCCTGGTTTAATTTATAATAAACTGACTTAATTTAAAATTTTTCATTTGTTTAGTAATTTGGATTCCTTGTTGGGATTCGGAATATTAAATAGATTATTTGAAATTAAAATGAGGAATAGTGAAGAATAGTGTGTGTGTGTGTTTACTGCATTTATTAAAAGTATTTCTATTGCATATGTAAATATATTATATGATATACTATATTAATATGTATATATATATATATATATATTATATATATATATATATATATATATATATATATACAATACATATAATACATATGAGAGATACCGTTAATATTTTATGGATATCTCTTGTATATACTACAAGATATTTTCAGTATTTGCTATTAACAAAAATAGGCGGACATTAGAGCATTCTTAGTATATACTTATTGTTAGTATATAATAGTATGTATCTCGAATGTTCTGAGAATATATGCATTGTACTTTTGCGATATTCTTTGAACATTCTTAGTATCTACATATGCTGTCAGGGATATGTGTATTTGAATATAAAAAACTTGTATATTATACAATATTATATTTATAAAATAAAATAAAATTTTTTTTCTACGTAAATAATTTCAATTATTTAAAGAGAAAAAATTAGAAACTAAAAATTAAATATCCATACAATTTAAATGGCTTCGAAATGTCAAGGCTTGCTCACAATTTGACATCAAGCATTAGCAAGCTTTGCTCGGGATTTGCCATCAATTTGCTGGCAGATTATGTTAGCAAGATTTGCTCACAATTTATCGCCAATTTGTCATCAAATTTTGTCAACAAGCTTTACTCGGGTTTTACTACTAATTTCCACTCAGGTTTAGGCTTCAGGTCAGTAAGGTTTGCAAACAAAACACGAGCGTATTGTGGACATATTGATGCCAATTTGCTGCCAAGTTTTGATCAAATTTGTTGTCAATTCGCTGGCAATTTGCGCGCAAATTATTTATTGGGTACATATAAACCATAATATATAAAACTATACTACATATACTGTAGCAGACTTGGGAAGTAACGCGTTACTTGTAACGTCGTTATCGTTACTTTTTTCTGTCTATAACGATAATGATAACGTCGTTACATTTTTACAGTAATAGTAATGAATTTACCCGTTTCTTTTATTGTTACTTTAATTCTGCAATCCTGGATAGTATCCCCTTAGTAATTGAACAATCTATTCTTATTACAAAACAGTTTGCAGCAAATATTTTGGAAAATTATATACATGCATGATATTTTTCTCTGTATTCATAAATCTAAAATTTCTAAACTATAATAAGTAAAAAATTGAAAATGAAGAACATCAATAATGGAATAATTTATAATTATCGAATATATAAAAGTAATAATTATATTTTAAAATCAATTATAATAAATACTATAAAATAATAATTATATTTTAAGCTAAATTAATTTAATTTTTGTATAATATTATAAAAAGTAATGAAAAAGTAACAAATCTTTACTTTCTTAGTAACGGTAACGGTAACAAGTTACTTTTCAAAATTAGTAATGAGTAACGGTAACGAGTTACTTTTCACGAAAAATAATGGTAATGGTAACGCATAACATTTTGAAGTAACGTTCCCAATTCTGTTCATTGTATATACATATATATATACATATACATAATATATATACATATACAGAGTAATTCAAAATAACCATATTGTCCGTGAAATGACACATTTTTGAGTCAATTTTAAGATGATTTTTCCTTTGGCAAAATTTTGTCCAAAGCTTACAAGGGGAGGTTACGCTCTGCTCTCCGCCGATTTTAATGAAACTTACAGGAGTTGTAGGAGATATTATGTAGTTAATACCTGTAAAGCCCTTTTTCTGAATGGGCCCTGGAAGTCAAGTTATAACCAATTATATGGGGATCTCTTCGTTAAGTAGCATTGTGATAGAGGCACTTATAAAAGTGAGCGTAGCACAGCAGATAAGACATTTCGCTGTAAGTCTCTGGATCGCTGGTTCGATCCCAATCGGTAGCAAGTTTTTTTTAAATTTATTATATTGTTTTTTTTATTCTTATATTGTTTTTTTATTGTTATATTGTTTTTTTTATTGTTATATTGTTTTTTAAATTTTGTTGTGTAATAAATGAATAAAGAAAAAAAATAAAAGAAAGAAAATAAGAGAAACCTTTAACAATAAGAGATAATAATTATATATTATATATATATATATATATATAAAACAGAGTAATTAAGGTTGACCACAACTGGCAATTTTAATTCGAAATCAAAATTTCACAACGTTTCGACCATAGGTTTTGGCCCTTTTCAAGTGAACTACAAAAAATTAATTCAATATTACAAAAATAAAATAATTGATTTTGAGATAAGGAGCAAAAGGTTACATACATACAGTAATTTGATTAAAAGTTATATCGTGAAAAATAATCACTTCGTCAAAAATATCATGTCGACCTGTCCTCACCAACACAAAGAGAAAGACTAGACAACCTTTATTATTTTATCATAAATATCGTTTAAATTATCTGTGTCCTTTTGTAAGTTGATCGTGTTGTCAAGCTTTTTTATATAAAACATTTCAGCAAATTCTCTCTTTCTCACGTGTTTCTCGCTATGTAAAATAACCGGTAAGGACCAATCGAAGTCATGATTAAAATCAACTTTATGTTTACTAATAACGGAAAAATTGCTTTCATGCACTTTAATGTTATTACGATGTTCTTTTATACGAGTGCATACATGTCTTTTTGTTTGGCCGATATATGACTTATTGCAATTTTTGCAATCTAATTTGTAAACTACTTCCGTCATGTTGTTCGTAGGCAGCTTATCTTTACCGCGTTTAATCAGTACATTGAGTTTTTTAGGAACATTATAAACCACATTTAGGCCTATGTTTTTAAAAACGTGATCAAATTCATCACTCAGGCCATCAACGAACGGCAAAGAAATGTACGAAGATGCCACTGCATTGTCACATTCATTATCAATATTGGCATTATCACGATGTTTCAAGAATTGTAGTCTTTTTTGCACATAACGGTTAATGATTTGGCTCGGAAAACAATTGTTGGAAAGAATCCGCTTAACAGTATCAATGTTCTTCGCATGAAATTGAGAATCAGCCAATAATATAGCGCGGTCAACAAGACTGTAAATGGTGTTCAATTTGTATTTCATCGGATGTTTAGAATGAAAATTAATAAATCTGTTAGAACAAGTGGGTTTCCTAAACCAATCGGTTAGAAGACAACCATCAGATCGAATAACAACCGTGTCGTTATACGTGATTGAAATGATTTTGAACTCTACTAGTTTTACATTCAACGGACAGTTTTACGAACAGATTTTTGGTAGTCCTATGGGTTCTCCTCTGTCACCTATCTTGGCCGATATTGTGATGGATGACTTGGAAACACATTGTTTGAGTCTGCTGGATTTCAATGTGCCGGTTTATTACAGATATGTTGATGACATTTTTACCATTGTTCCACGCTCTAAAGTGGAAATGATAAAATCGACCTTTAATAATTATCATCAACGCTTGGCTTTTACGCATGAAATTGAATGTGATTCTCGTATCAGCTTTCTCGACACGGTTGTTATTCGATCTGATGGTTGTCTTCTAACCGATTGGTTTAGGAAACCCACTTGTTCTAACAGATTTATTAATTTTCATTCTAAACATCCGATGAAATACAAATTGAACACCATTTACAGTCTTGTTGACCGCGCTATATTATTGGCTGATTCTCAATTTCATGCGAAGAACATTGATACTGTTAAGCGGATTCTTTCCAACAATTGTTTTCCGAGCCAAATCATTAACCGTTATGTGCAAAAAAGACTACAATTCTTGAAACATCGTGATAATGCCAATATTGATAATGAATGTGACAATGCAGTGGCATCTTCGTACATTTCTTTGCCGTTCGTTGATGGCAAAAACGTGAATTTGATCACGTTTTTAAAAACATAGGCCTAAATGTGGTTTATAATGTTCCTAAAAAACTCAATGTACTGATTAAACGCGGTAAAGATAAGCTGCCTACGAACAACATGACGGAAGTAGTTTACAAATTAGATTGCAAAAATTGCAATAAGTCATATATCGGCCAAACAAAAAGACATGTATGCACTCGTATAAAAGAACATCGTAATAACATTAAAGTGCATGAAAGCAATTTTTCCGTTATTAGTAAACATAAAGTTGATTTTAATCATGACTTCGATTGGTCCTCACCGGTTATTTTACATAGCGAGAAACACGTGAGAAAGAGAGAATTTGCTGAAATGTTTTATATAAAAAAGCTTGACAACACGATCAACTTACAAAAGGACACAGATAATTTAAACGATATTTATGATAAAATAATAAAGGTTGTCTAGTTTTTCTCTTTGTGTTGGTGAGGACAGGTCGACATGATATTTTTGACGAAGTGATTATTTTTCACGATATAACTTTTAATCAAATTACTGTATGTATGTAACCTTTTGCTCCTTATCTCAAAATCAATTATTTTATTTTTGTAATATTGAATTAATTTTTTGTAGTTCACTTGAAAAGGGCCAAAACCTATGGTCGAAACGTTGTGAAATTTTGATTTCGAATTAAAATTGCCAGTTGTGGTCAACCTTAATTACTCTGTTTTATTTATTTGCTGGCGACTTTGAAGTTTTTTAAGTTATTTACACTCCTGGACCTAATTATGGAGTTTCCGCAATCTGACTTGTTTTTCCAAACGATTACTAATAATTTCGGCAAAGGTTACACGACATTGTTGAAGTCATGGATTAATAATAAAAGGAAGATCTGCACTGCCAATCAACAACTCATTTTCTTACTTCGATGCAGGAGATATGACTTAGTTCCGTCACACATTAGCAAGTTAAAGATCAACATCAAGTTTTGTAGCAGTCGCGTTAATCGCATTTTTGAGAAAACCAAGACGAGATATCGTTATACATTATTGAATCTTGAAATTAAGGATCTTAATTGTAATCTAAAATATTTACGCGCTAAAGTTGGAAGGATTGAAAGTGGTCTTGAATGTGTGCCGCGTGATTTGTTAAAAAAATTTTTTGATTTTAATGAACGTAAGTTTTCAATAATCACTAACAGATTAAAATCTAATCTAATTAAAAAATTTAAAAATTTGACAGCCAAATATGACACATCTTTGAATCCTTTTAACAATATTGACAAAACCGGATGGTTGATTAACATTAGTAATAAAAACATTCCTGATCGAGTGTCTGAACTTTTGAGTCTTGGTGACAATTTTGGATTACCGCTACTTCAGTCTCACGCGAAAGATCGTGTTAACGTTGTTCTTGAGACCTTGAAGAACTTGGAAATTAATTACAACCGCATCCCTGTTACCGTTATTGCAAGTACCAGAAATTCTGTCGCTAATTCTCTCAATAGATTTCTTTGTGAGAAAAGGCATGTCAACTGTATAGACAGATATGTTCTAGGAAGCCTCTCTCTTTGCAAACAATTCTTGCACAACAACGACGATCTGTTTGTCACCAGGGCTGATAAGGGTCAGGTCACTGTGGTGATGAATAAGACTGATTATGTGGAAAAAATGGAGGCACTTCTGAATGATCAATCCACCTACAGGAAATTGAATAAGGATCCGATCAGAAAATTAACTAATAAAATCAATACTATTGTAAAATCGTGGCGTAGCAATGATCTTATAAATGAGTCTACATATAAAAAATTGAACTCTACGAATGGTAATTTACCACGGTGTTATGGTTTACCAAAAATTCACAAGTCTGGTTTTCCAATGCGAATTATTGTGTCATCGATCGGTAGTCCCGTATACAACGTCGCGCAATACATCCATGACATATTGAAGATTTCGATCTTGGAACCTAAATCTCACATCAAGGATGGTTGGACGTTTGCTAATTATTTAAAAGGCAAAATTATTAGAGATGACGAAATAATGATTTCTCTCGATGTCACTGCATTGTTCACAAATATTCCCAAGGATTTGGTTGTGAGTGCTGTCACTAAACGTTGGAATCACATCGCGCCTAATACGAAATTTAACTTATCACAGTTTTTATACGTGATTGAAATGATTTTGGACTCTACTAGTTTTACATTCAACGGACAGTTTTACGAACAGATTTTTGGTAGTCCTATGGGTTCTCCTCTGTCACCTATCTTGGCCGATATTGTGATGGATGACTTGGAAACACATTGTTTGAGTCTGCTGGATTTCAATGTGCCGGTTTATTACAGATATGTTGATGACATTTTTACCATTGTTCCACGCTCTAAAGTGGAAATGATAAAATCGACCTTTAATAATTATCATCAACGCTTGGCTTTTACGCATGAAATTGAATGTGATTCTTGTATCAGCTTTCTCGACACGGTTGTTATTCGATCTGATGGTTGTCTTCTAACCGATTGGTTTAGGAAACCCACTTGTTCTAACAGATTTATTAATTTTCATTCTAAACATCCGATGAAATACAAATTGAACACCATTTACAGTCTTGTTGACCGCGCTATATTATTGGCTGATTCTCAATTTCATGCGAAGAACATTGATACTGTTAAGCGGATTCTTTCCAACAATTGTTTTCCGAGCCAAATCATTAACCGTTATGTGCAAAAAAGACTACAATTCTTGAAACATCGTGATAATGCCAATATTGATAATGAATGTGACAATGCAGTGGCATCTTCGTACATTTCTTTGCCGTTCGTTGATGGCAAAAACGTGAATTTGATCACGTTTTTAAAAACATAGGCCTAAATGTGGTTTATAATGTTCCTAAAAAACTCAATGTACTGATTAAACGCGGTAAAGATAAGCTGCCTACGAACAACATGACGGAAGTAGTTTACAAATTAGATTGCAAAAATTGCAATAAGTCATATATCGGCCAAACAAAAAGACATGTATGCACTCGTATAAAAGAACATCGTAATAACATTAAAGTGCATGAAAGCAATTTTTCCGTTATTAGTAAACATAAAGTTGATTTTAATCATGACTTCGATTGGTCCTCACCGGTTATTTTACGGATAGCGAGAAACACGTGAGAAAGAGAGAATTTGCTGAAATGTTTTATATAAAAAAGCTTGACAACACGATCAACTTACAAAAGGACACAGATAATTTAAACGATATTTATGATAAAATAATAAAGGTTGTCTAGTCTTTCTCTTTGTGTTGGTGAGGACAGGTCGACATGATATTTTTGACGAAGTGATTATTTTTCACGATATAACTTTTAATCAAATTACTGTATGTATGTAACCTTTTGCTCCTTATCTCAAAATCAATTATTTTATTTTTGTAATATTGAATTAATTTTTTGTAGTTCACTTGAAAAGGGCCAAAACCTATGGTCGAAACGTTGTGAAATTTTGATTTCGAATTAAAATTGCCAGTTGTGGTCAACCTTAATTACTCTGTTTTATTTATTTGCTGGCGACTTTGAAGTTTTTTAAGATATATATATATATTACATTATATATTATATGTTTTTACGACAATTTTTCCGATGATACATGTCGTAAAAGCATTTGAAACATAATATTTCCAAACACTGCGCGCAAGAAATGAAAGAAATATTGTTACACTGACATCTTTTTTTACGCAGGTCCGCAGAAAAGCAAGTTTCATTAACGTTTTCGTTACGTTTATTCGTGACAACAAGTGAACTCTATAAGTAAATCAACCAGCCTCCCACTCGACGTGTTTATTAGCGGTCAAACGCCTACTATATTCATTTGTTAAGAGCCGTTGTACTACAGAGCTTGCCGTCTCACGCGAAATTTTCGAGCGTCTTACGAGGCATTGTTATTTTTACATCAGTGAAATTCGTCTGTACTCGCGGTATTAGCAAAGTATTGGGCGTAAAGTGTAACTGTAAGATCGACCATTTGGCGTAAAGCGTCATATTGCGGTCTTAAAATCTCATGCTTTTTTGATTTCCTACTGTTTCGTATCATTTACTACCGTAAAATTTTATTTTCTTTTTGTTGCGGATACGATATAATTAATTATTTTTTATTTATTTTTTTATTTATAAGAAAAAATTATGGAGGCAGAAAAATCTGACAATGAATTATATTCAAAACAAATTATCGCCGATGCTTTTAACATTTGCGGAAATATTTTAACGGAAAAAGACATTATGTCATGCAGTCCGAATAAAGTATTTATTTCACAGAGAGCTAAACTTCTTGGTAAAGAAATGGTTGACGTCCTCCAAGATCTACTAACAAATCACAAATTCGAAGAAAGAAAGGAATGGTTCTTGGCAGACGAAAATATGAGCATAGAATCAGAAATGGAAGAAATTTTGGACGAAAACGATGCAATATATACTTCATCTGATCCCGATACCGATGCAGATGATAGTATTTATTGTCCAGAGGAAAAGAATTCGATATCGATAATTCCCTTAAATGAAAAAATTAAAACTGTTCATATGGCAAAGAAATATCCCCGATGGAGTCTATCAACACTTCAGCAAAGAGCGAGTGCAAGACTTCGAAATAAGAGTGATCTTAAAAAGTGAACAAGATATTAAAAATGGAGGCACTGCAGCAGAAAAAATGAAAATGATCAATAAATGGACATACGATAAATTTTATGAAAGTAGATGTCAAAAAAAACCTGTAACAACTCGAAATTTACAAGAATGGGCTTTATCTGCGGCATCCCAATTTGCAAATACATCTTTTAAATTTTCAGCTTCTTTGGGATGGATAAAGAAATTCAAAATGATGAATAGAATACGACAACGAAAAGTAACGCGATTTGTTAAATCAAAAAATTGTCTTTCAATGGAAAAAATAATGGAAGAAGCTAACAAATTTCAAAATTTTATGACAGAAAACATAAAAGAATTTGATAAAGACTTTGTCATTAATACGGATCAAACTGGTTGCCAATATAGAGCGGATGTACAACGAACGCTTTCAATTCGCGAAGAAAAAACAACAGAAGTTTATATAGGAGATTTTAATAAAGTTACTCATAGTTACACTGCTCAATACACCATTACCGCTTCGGAAAAACTTCTCCCGAAAGTATTCCTGTGCATGCAAGAGGCAAAAGGTTGTTTTGGACCTGTGGTATCAGAAAGAGTTCGAAAACTAGAACAGGAATACGGTAATATTTTTGTAACTGCCTCAAAATGGGGGAAAATGACGAAGGATCTTGTTTCTTCCTATGTACAAAACATTGTGAAACCATACGTCCAAAATAATAAATTTCTGATAATTTTGGATTCGTGGGGAGGGCAGACTGATACATCGCAAATTAATAATTTTTTTATGGATGAAGCAGGAAATCGTACTAGTTCGGTAGAGATAATACCTCCGCATTGTACACCATTCTGTCAGCCATGCGATGTATATTTCTTTAGACAGGTAAAATGTTTAATTAAAAGAATACAAAATAGCACAGAATTGTTACAAGAGGGTAAGGAAATAAACACTAGGGAAGATGCGTTAAAAATTCACTCGCTAATACACCATCAGCTTAGCGCTCCTGTTTTTTAGAATATGATTTCCTATGCATGGTTTGCATCGCGTTTAATTGATGAAAGAAAAATATTTACAAACGTTAATGAAACTTGCTTTTCTGCGGACCTGCGTCAAAAAAGATGTCAGTGTAACAATATTTCTTTCATTTCTTGCGCGCAGTGTTTGGAAATATTATGTTTCAAATGCTTTTACGACATGTATCATCGGAAAAATTGTCGTAAAAACATATAATATATAATGTAATATATATATATATATATACAGGGTGTCAATTAAGTCCCGGGACGGCTGAATATTTTCTCATGTAAGGTATTTTTGAAAAAGGTCAAGGTCATTTCTGAAGTAATTTTCAACGAGGAATTCAACGGTGACCTTCAATTTGACCTTGAGCTTGACCTTCAAGGTTATTTGAAGGTCAAAGTGTTTTTTTTTAATAGGAACCCCTATTTTTGATTGTATATTCTTATAGCTGACCTCGAGAGCTTTCCAAAACACTATAATAAAATATTTTTCCCTCAAGCATTTATCGAGTTATGATGCTTCAAATCATTTCTTAATTTTACATAAACCGTAAAATATCTTGTAAAATATTCACTTTTCGATTATTTTACCTTAATACTTTTATGTACACAATAATGAGAGGAATCAATTGGCGTAAAGAAAACATATAGTTGTTTTTAAGAAAAAATATGTAATTTGCAATTAACAATTCCATATTTTTTCTTAAAAACAACTGTATGTTTTCTTTAAACCAATTGATTCCTCTCATTATTTTGTACATAAAAGTATTAAGGTAAAATAATCGAAAAGTGAATATTTTACAAGATATTTTACGGTTTATGTAAAATTAAGAAATGATTTGAAGCATCATAACTCGATAAATGCTTGAGGGAAAAATATTTTATTATAGTGTTTTGGAAAGCTCTCGAGGTCAGCTATAAGAATATACAATCAAAAATAGGGGTTCCTATTTAAAAAAAACACTTTGACCTTCAAATAACCTTGAAGGTCAAGCTCAAGGTCAAATTGAAGGTCACCGTTGAATTCCTCGTTGAAAATTACTTCAGAAATGACCTTGACCTTTTTCAAAAATACCTTACATGAGAAAATATTCAGCCGTCCCGGGACTTAATTGACACCCTGTATATATATATATATATATATATATATATATATATATATATATACAATATATAATTATTATCTCTTATTGTTAAAGGTTTCTCTTATTTTCTTTCTTTTATTTTTTTTCTTTATTCATTTATTACACAACAAAATTTAAAAAACAATATAACAATAAAAAAAAACAATATAACAATAAAAAAACAATATAAGAATAAAAAAAATAATATAATTTTAAAAAAAACTTGCCACCGATTGGGATCGAACCAGCGATTCAGAGACTTACAGGGAAATGTCTTATCTGCTGTGCTACGCTCACTTTTATAAGTGCCTCTATCACAATGCTACTTAACGAAGAGATCCCCATATAATTGGTTATAACTTGACTTCCAGGGCCCATCCAGAAAAAGGGCTTTACAGGTATTAACTACATATCTCCTACAACTCCTGTAAGTTTCATTAAAATCGGCGGAGAGCAGAGCGTAGCCTCCCCTTGTTAGTTTTCGAATATATATACATATACTGGGTGTTTCAGACCACCCGTCCCACCCTTTTAAAACGTAGGGATGTGCTTGTACAAAAAAATGGCTCAGACAAAATTTGCATGATTTCGAGAGATCTATCTGATGGTGACCTTGAATTCGACCTTGAGATCGACCTACAAGGTTATTTGAAGGTCAAAGTGTTTTTTTTTAATGGGAACCCCTATTTTTGATTGTATATTCTTATAGCTGACCTCGAGAGCTTTCAAAAACACTATAATAAAATATTTTTCCCTCAAGCATTTATCGAGTTATGAGGCTTCAAATCATTTCTTAATTTTACATAAACCGTAAAATATCTAGTAAACCATTCATTTTTTGATTATCTTACCTTCATACTTTTATGTACAAAATAATGAGAGGAATCAATTGGTGTAAAGAAAACATACAGTTGTTTTTAAGAAAAAATATGGAATTGTTAATTGCAAATTACATATTTTTCCTTAGAAACAACTATGTGTTTTCTTTACACCAATTGATTCCTCTCATTATTTTGTACATAAAAGTATGAAGGTAAGATAATCGAAAAATGAATGGTTTACTAGATATTTTATGGTTTATGTAAAATTAAGAAATTATT